ATAAAACAAGATCTGTCCCTTTGCCTCAGAGGTATGAGAATGAGTCTAGGTCAATGCAGAATTTCACTAGCCAAGCAATCAAGATATACACAGTAGAACTGTGGGAAGTCTTGGATGGCCGCAAAATGACTTACACTGCACATCTACTCGAATGGACTTGATGGCAGGGACCCCAACCCCGTTCTCTGCTTTACAGTAATAACGACCCCCCTGAAGCCTGTGGATCTTCTCAATCAGAAGGGTCTCATTTAACACCGATGTCTCCTGGAATTTGTCCGAAGCGCTGCCAGCAGTTTTGGTCCACCTCACCTAGAGGAAGGGAAGGAGAAAAGCAGAGAGAAATAAAGCATAAGAAACAAGCAAACTTTGATCTGGGCTCCGGGCCCATCTATTTGTTTGAAATGCTTTTAGGCTGATTATCATGCTATGCACCTGCAGGCAATATGTATATAATACACCTGTACACAGTATACCATTTAATATACAAACATACAAAACAATTATATATATATATAAACATGAACAATGTGGTAAATGCCGGAGTGAATATCAATGTCAGGCTTCCTCTAGACTGACAGTCAAAACTAGAAGTCTAGCAGGCAGAGATTTCAGGGTGCAGCCTTTGATCATCTAGTTTTATTAGATATTTGAAAATTATCATTAGAACAGAAAACTAATAACTACTAACTATGTCCCATAAGCCAAGTAGGTCACAGTCCCCAAATGCCAGTCTTATCTCTCTTTCTCCTGCCATTGTGTCCTAATTGACAGAGAGCTGGGTGTTTATCCGTAGATTTGTCGATAACTGATACAGAAAGTCATCTATTTACGACAATTGAGGCCAAAATGTTCATTGCTAAGCAAGACAGCTGTTAAGTGAGTTGTGCCTCATTTTTTATCATCTTTTTTGCCATAGATGTTAAACAAATCACTGCGGTTGTTAAGTGAATCTGGCTTCCCCCCATTGAGTTTGCTTGTCAGAAACCAGCTGAAAAGGTTACAAATGTTGATCACATGACCTGGGACAGTGCAACTGTCATAAATATATGCCAGTTGCCAAGCGCCCAAATTTTGATCACATGACCATGGGGATGTTGCCATGGTTGTTAGTGTAAAAAAATAGTCTTAAGTCACTTTTTCAGTGCCGTTGTAACTTCTAACAGTCACTAAATGAATGAGTATAAATCAAGGACTACCTATATTTCTGGATTGTTACTATAATACACCTTTAGACCTAGGACCTTTGCATCTGATCCTTCTGTTCCTCATAAAAAAATGTTTTCAGCATTTAAATTAATATGGAATTGGCATATGTTTTATGTCTCACATTAGTTTTCTGCACAATCTGAATCAGCCTTTTGACTTCACATTTGGGTCAAAAAATATTGCTCCCCAAGCATGATCTTATTTTTGCCAATAAAGAACACTCTCTTGATAACTCTGGAGATTCCAAGGATATTAGCAGTAACTCCTGCTATTTTGGTTTTGATTAGCGATCATGCATGCTTCGGAAGCCACATTTGCATAGCTACATCAGGGCTAATTGGGATCATCACATTTCTGAGCAGAGTAAGTTTCAGTCAATTCTCTCTAGACCCTGAGAATCCTGAAATAGTTAGTTTTCAGAAGGATGAGATGCAGATCCACTATGTTGCTTCCTTTTTCTTAATTAATCTTCCCAGGATGTTTGTTTATGCTTCTGTTTGAATACAATAATTTCATTTTGTTATTTATTTTATTATCTAAGTGCTCTGGGCAGTGAATGAATGTTTTGTAGAGTTGAAAAGGGTAAAGCGGTAGAAGTAGATTGTAAAAATATCAGAACTTGCAGAAATGACGAGAGGAAAAAAAACAAAACTTTTTCTGAAAGACTAAAAACCTTATATGGAATTTCCGTTGAGAAGAAGAAAGAAATTACATGATGATTTATGGATTTGAAGATTAAATAAGGGCTGAAGGGATTTGTATAACATCTTAGGGATAGAGATAATGAAATTGCAATTGAAAAGAAGATCAGAAGTCATTTATATGTTTCTTAATTTCAATTTCTTTTTTATTTTTTGTACTTTCTCATTTCTTTTCAATTTGTATTTTATTTTATGGGGAAAATTCTGATATGTATGTATGTATATATATGTGTGTGTGTGTGTGTATAAAAATACAAATCCCAGGCATATTTACACTAGTGATATAGAATCCTTGAACTCCGGGATAAATGAAAATAGCTGTTTATTGTTAAAAATGATAAAAACCAATAAAACAATAAAAACAACCATTCATAACATCGAAAATCTATTGTCTTAACTTTCGCTGGTCCGCTGCCTGCGTCATCAGAGTAAGTTTTGGAGGCTGGAGAGTCTGCTTATAAGCCCACCCTCCAAAGCTTACTCTGATGACGCAGGCAGCGGACCAGCGAAAGCTAAGACAATAGATTTTCGATGTTATGAATGGTTGTTTTTATTGTTTTATTGGTTTTTATCATTTTTAACAATAAACAGCTATTTTCATTTATCCCAGAGTTTGAGGATTCTATATCACTAGTGTGTGTGTGTGTGTGTGTGTGTGTGTATAAAATTTCACAGCCTTAGACACACACACACACACACACACACACATGGCAGTAAAATATATTGAGGGAAGGAATAGCACACACTGCAATCATTCAAATTTTTCTCATTTAGAAAGGGTTTACTTTGGTATCCAGATACATAAACCCAGGTGGGCAGGAAGAAACAAATGGGTTAATCGAGTAGAAAGAAAGAAAAGGAAGAAGGAGGTGGGACCTGACATGGGACCTGACATGTAATATTCAAATTGTTGGCTAGGCCAAAAACAATACGTTGCTTCCATTTTTCATTAGAGCAGATGGCAAACTGGTTAGAAAGCTGGCAGATGCAATGGAAATTCAGAAAAGGGAGCAGCAGACTGGTGAGCAGAGGGCATGAGGAAAGTTGGCAAATAATCATATAATGGTATGTCTAGCCAGGGTGGAATTCTAATTCCAGAAAAGGACAGGCAGGCCACCGTTATCAGCCACCACTGTCAATCTGCCATAATCTGAACTAGCACTAAAATCAAAAATATGTGCAGGAAGAGCATCTTGAGTATGGTCTCATCTATATTGTGCGAATCAAATTACAGAATAAATGAGTAACACATACAGACTGGGAGTGTGCAACTGTCTTGAGGCAGTGGACTGAAGCTTTTTCTTTAATAATAATAATAATAATAATAATAATAATAATAATAATAATAATAATAATAATAATAATAATAATAATAATAATAATAATAATAATCATCTTAATAATAATCTTAATAATAATCTTAATAATAATCTTAATAATAATCTTAATAATAATCCAAAAGTATGGCCAGTGCTGTATTCAGATTATCTGAATGCGCAAGGCCTTACTTTTCAGTTCAGCTGTTAAGGGAGAGGACAGAATGAGTGTGAGAATGATTATGTTAGACTTGCCTTTTAACCCTCCTAAAAGGGCCCCACAAAATGAACCCAACACTATTTGGAGTATTGGAAAGGGCTTCTGGGGAACCTCATACATGGCAGGTGATAAAAATAATTATTACATGAACATTCCAGAAGTATCTAGTGGCCACTGGGAGAAACAAAAACATGTAAACCAGGTCTTGGGCTGATCCAGCAGGGCTGTCCTTATGAGCTATAGCTTCCCTAATGCTTCTATTATATTTGCCTTTAATAAAAATCACAAACAGAACATGTTGAGATTGGAGAACAAGCCCTGGTCTGTTTCACAGTTTTGTCAGAGATCAGTTACTCCACCCCATGATTCCAAATGTTCGTAAAAATGCTGGTTTATGGTGAAGACATGGCCTAAGCCTCTATCTTTCATCCAGGGCTCTGCGACTGGCAATCTCTGGGATATGTCTTGAAAATGCCAGGTTATGCCCCTTGGTTAATTCATGGGCTGGTCCTTCTAGGTGAATAGTATTTAGGTTGACAGGATGAAGATCTCCAGATTTCCTGGCAGGAAATTCTCTCTATCCAAAGTGGAGTCTACTAGAAATTGAATCTGAATTTTTCTGTAGGTAAAATGCATGCTAACTACTCAGCAGAAAAATCAGATTTCTCATATGGCAAACATGGACATTTTTCTGTATGCATTCCTACTTCAGGGTAATTTAGGCTAGCTTCTTGCCTTACAACTTCTCTTGACAAGTGGAGCCAAATATATATAGATATCTATATATCTCTAATTGGTTGCCAGAATCAGTAAAGTTTCAAATCCCACAATTTCATCAGGAAGTAGTACTTCAGTGCCCCTCCATCTTCACATCCAGTTTCTCTATCATTACCTTGATCTTTTTTAGTAAGGTAAGGATTTCATTCCTCAGCTAGCAGAACGAATTCCTAAAATATCAACTAGACC